TATAAGACGTTTGTTTATTTTAATGACATTCTTTTCTAGAAGTATGTCCCTGGGGATGATAAAAGCAAATGTTATTCGAGTGAGGGATGTTAACTAGTTTGCTACAAGCAGTATAAATCAATAACACTTTGCTGTCATTTCACTGTATCTGTTAGACGAAATCTGTCGTCTACTCCAATTTATTTATTATTTTTTTGTTTTTTTTTATAAAAAAAATAAATAATAATCAAATATCTCTCGTCTTTATCTTGTTTTCCATCACAAAAAGATTCTCCATAGTCGATTTTTTTCCTCAATTAAGTTATCTTATTTGTTGCATATCTATTTAAAGATCAAAGAGTGAGGCCGAATGTCTGATCTTTGATTATAATAGACATCTAAATTTTCATTTTTGTAACAGAAACTGTATTATNACAGTTCATAAGTTAATAAAAGTTCGTTTTAATTATTAATTATTTTATCTCTAACAAAATAAAACCCCAATAAAGCGATAATTAAAACGTTATATCCGAATTTTACAACACGTTATCGTATTTTGAGAAACTCTGAGATAAAATATGGAAGATAATCGCATTTTATATATGTACTAGTCAATTTGAGAAACGTCAACCTTTCCTAAAATATCGATCGTTATTCCTGTCACAATATATATTTCAATTTATGATTTTTTTTGTTATTTTATTTCTCCTTTAAGTTTAAAAATAATCAGAAATATTCTTTAAATATTCACGTAAAAACTTTTTACAGGAATAATAGTAATATATTGTTACTTCTCCACAAAGTAAAACTAGCGTAAAGTTAATATATGGTATTTAAAGTGCCATTTTTATTTATTTTAATTATAAAAAAATTGATGTTTTATCTCGGTTAAGACAATGGTAATTATAACCGTGATTTAATAAAAGATAAGATTTATTTTTAGTACTGGTTTATTTTTCACTCTCGGTTGAGCTTTCGACCTTTGAATCTAGCGTGTTTTATCCATGTTTGATAAAACATCCATTATTCAAAATGAATTACTGTTACTACGTCTGTTAGATTAGAACGTTACAAGAATAGAAGCTAAAAAAGAAATTTTTTTAAATGTATACAAGAAATGTGAAATCTTTTTCCAATTTTCCTAATAAAATTGGTGATATTTCGAATATATTTTTATTTTTTTAGAATTTTACTGTAACTTGTTTACGTTAAATCGACTCGATTTTTTTTTCTCTTATACCTTACTAAATTCGTGTGTAACATAATATTAATTATTCAAATAAATTACTGTTTTTTATATGTATTTGGAAACAAATTGGAAATTGCTTTTATATCAAAATAGAAAAAAATCTTTAGTTCTAATTAAAAATTCTTCAACTTTTAATAAGATTTTAGGTATAAATTTCTATTTTCTTAAGGAATGGTATTAATAACTCGTTGATCTTTTAATGGAGTGTTTTTGTTTCTAATGGAATGGAGTAAGCCTTTAAAATAAGCCGGATGTTAAAATAAGTTTGGTGTTTTTCCCTCTTGAATCGAGGTGTTGGGAGGAGAAGAGGGATTTACAGGGTGTAAGAAGCCTGGATAATTGAAACTCCAACAGAAAAATATATTTTTTTTTTTTTTTTTTTTTACTTTACGTAAGGAAATTTACTTTTTAATTATAGTAAAACCTGTCTAAAATGGGAAAACTTCTTCGGGACGGAGCGATTTTTTTTATGTTTAAAGAAATCTGTTTTAAACGAAAACCTGTTAAACCGGAGAAAATATTCGGTGCCACGCGATTCCGGTTTACAC